CTTTGGCTATTGAGGTGTTTGCCTTTTTTTAAAAAAAAACCTGACTTTTATGTGTTCTTTGCATATGTTCAATCTGTTGCTCTGCTGCAATTTATGCTGCTCGTCATTTGCCTTTTTATTTTCTTATGCTGCTCCCTGAACTTGTTTTTAGCATTTATGTACATAAATCTATCTTTTTTACTGTATGGTTTTATCCTTTGCCCTTTTGCTTAAAAACACCACCATACTGCAATAAATAAATGTATCCTAAAAATGCTCATATTATTTCCATTTTAAAAAAAAAACATACATCTCTTCACATGTAAAAATGACTCAAGCAAGTTTTTAAAATCATTACAATTTAAATTCATTATATCTTTCCTGAGAATATTTCAGAAAAACATGTTATCTGTGCTAATCTGATTAAAAACTTACTTTCTAATTTCAGATTCTTTTTCCTTTTAATCAATGGATATTTAAAGACAGACTCAACTGGTATGACTAAAACAGAGGCAAGCTTAACACTACCTCTTATCTTCCTTCCTAGATTCAGTAGGCAAGAAAGGAGAATTTTTGTCAAAGTAAAGTTTTAAAGCTTTTTTTACAGCTTCTCACCACTCAAGTAAGTCTAATATACGGTCATCATGTAAAGGAAGGATAATGCCATTCTGAAATATTTGGATCTTTCCTCCTGTATTCAGGGCAGGAGGAGCAATTCCACCTGCAGTGGAATGTGTATGTTCCCATTGCTCCCAATTGCTCTAGATAGCCCTTTGTTTACAGGATCGTTGAAAGTAACCAGGTATTCAGGGACTGGGTTGTCCAGCACAAGTAACTCACCAATCTTTCTAAATAAGATCACTACAAGCTTGCTACATTCTTACATTTCTAACACAATATTTATGTCTAAAAATATATAAGTTGGATCACTCAGCTTTGTATTTAAATCCAATTAGCTCCAACTGTTTTAATGGTCTCACTACGAAGTGGTTTCTGCTATGGGAATCCCAAAAGGAATTTGTTCAAGGAACTCTCTCAAAACACTATTAAAGAAAGTACATATTAATCTATTATCTCAAAAGTACAACACTTACACAACTATCTCTCCCCCACCCCCAACAAAACTAGGAAAAAAGAAAACACTAGAGGTTCTAAATATAGTACACAGCATTTGGGAAACCAGCGGGCTATCTACCCAATGTCGTATCACTGGGACAATGTAGTCTCCTGGTTTCAGGATGGGCGGTGTTTAATAATACATGCATATGAAACAAAAGTGACAAAAATTTTGGTCAGTCAACTAAGATCCCAAAGAGGTCAACGAAAATGCTACTACAACCACAAGTATTTGTCTTTGGTCATCTCTAATGAACCTAGAAGTGCCAGCATATTTCACAGGGGCTAAATAAAACTTTTTAAAGGTTAACAGAAAAATATTTATGTGAAAAATGCCTCTGAATAATCTTTTAGTGGGTGGATTCGGCACATACCAGTGAATACCTTTGAGCTTAGTCCAATCTTGAATTAAGCTACAGTTCACCTTTAAGAAACAATGAACCTGTTTTTAAGTAAAAGCCTGTATTAATAAGAAACATGTAATGTGAATACAAAAAGAGATATTATCAGCTGAACTGTATCTAAATATTTTACAAAGTTTTCCAAGAGCCATCAGATCTTTAAAACTCATGATCTTTTGTCAAAAAAAAAAAAGTGTTAGTCATTCATCTGTAAAAATCTAGTTTTTTATGTGTACACCAAGCATAAAATTGAATTGCCCCGCATTAAACTTAACATAAACCTCACATCACAAAGTTAAGTGTTCTTATACTTCAATATAACTATGACAGTGATTCAAAGGGTAAAAACACACTTGGAATAGTCTACCTTCGGCTGCATTTCAGTACAATGAAGAAAGCCTGTGCAGCACCCAAAAATTAGGTCCATATTTTAAATCTGCAGGCAATCAAGCAAGGAAAACAAATTGAGGAACCAGGCTATGTAATCACAATCACTTGCAAAATCATTTAAACTATTTTCTAGTTGTAATTGTTAGCAGTTTCCTATGACTGTAATCTTTTAAAAAATATCTTCCACTTCAAATATTAAATGCATATGTATATTAATGTTTTTTGTCTACTTACAGTTAGGTGCTAGCTATGCCAGATTAAAATTCCTCTTTTTGCCCTTTCCAATTCTGCATTCCCTTCTTTTCATTTTTGCACATTATGGTTCCAAGTGAATTACGTATTATTTATCCAAATAATGGGTGGCTAAAAATTTAATCTTTAAAACTACAATTTTTAAGCAATGTAGTTTAACAACAACAAAAAACATAGTGAATAAAGCCATTTCACAATGACAGTGTTTTTCACAAAGTAATATGTTACCTTTTCAGATTTTATTCAAGGATAATAATTTAATAAATGTTATAAAATTAAAGATTCTCAACATTATAAATTAGTATGCGTAACACTTAACAGAGAAAATTGAATAGTAAGAGGTAGAATGAGTTGTTCAAGGTCAGACAGCATGTCAGTGAGGCAACCAGCATGGCAATCTCAAATTCCTGTCTTCCCCCACATGTGCCATCCCACAAGATCCCTGCTCTAACCTTTGCCTGCAAAATGCTAACTCCAGTATTCTTCACAGGACAGAAATCATTTAGAATACAATTTCAAACTTAAGAAACTAAGTAGTAAAGAAGTTAACTTAAATATTACCATGATATATGAATTTAAATCAGTTTTCAGCTAATTGGTTCATCATCTGAATGATCAATTCCTGAGGATAGAACAACTTCTTCCTAATGTAGTATTTAAGTGACATTGAGCTGGCTCAAGGGGACTCAGGCTTCACTTGTGAGAACCAACCCTTGGAGAATGAAATAGCTACTTTTCAGGGTTGGACTGCTCTTATCCTCTATGGCATCCTGAGGAAGGGACAATCCAGTGTTCACTCAAAGAACTCTTAGAGCAGCTTCCTCACCTCCTTACAGCTGGAAAGGGATAACAGAACATTCTTATTTCAAAGGTTTAATCTGAACCATTGTAGACCAGGAATTCTTAAAGCATTAACCGTCTGGTTAAGTTTTAAGCTGGCTTCAAATAGTTTTTTCACTTCTAACTTCATGTCTCAAGGGAACCCGTTATGCATTCTTACACATTTCTGACCACTTAAACTCACTGGCCTCTTTGTGATATTCTTCTCATATTTGCACAAGACAGAAGTATCTCCCACTTTTCATTCCATGAGATATATCCCTTAGCAAGTTAAGAAAAACAAACACATAAAGCTAGTGGCGAAAACATCACTGTTTAATGATAGAGCTTGCAGGTTATCTATAAAGTGATTTCATGTTAAAATTGTCAAGTTAATAACTATCTGACTTCTATATTCAAATACATAATGTTTATATTCTTTCAAAAAAATGTTTAGTGCCAAAATGTAACTATTCAATAATAAGCTATATATTCTTGGATCACCATGTGTATGCACAAAACATCTGATAGACAACAGTATAAGAATGGAATTTCTGGCAAGCCTACATAGAATAATATCATTTTTATAAAAGAAATCGACATTCATTACATACTTACTAAGTAACAGGTACTATGCTAAGTACTTTACATAAAACTGCAATAAATTTCATGTTTATTATGTTCCCTCACCAAGTCATTATAAACTAATATATTCAAACATCAAAGGAACTGAACACAAACTCTAGGAATCCTGAACTGATTCCATTTTTTCCTTGGGCTATGTGCTAAGCCCATCATATTCATCACCCCTATTTATATAGGCCAAGGGCTCAGAGGCACATTAATTTAAATTATTCCCAGAAAGCAAACCCAAAATACCATTACCTCACTGAAATATTCAAGAGGCTAGTTTTGATGATCCAATAATTCAATTCTTATGAGCATATTTTAGTAAGGATTTGTTACTGATTTCATTATACATCAAGAGATGAGCCACTAATATTAAAGAATAAAACCATGGATTATGATAATTTACGAATTTAAGCTTTTTCAGTGTCCAGAAGTTGTAAGGAAGACAGACAGGGTTAGTGACTTCAGTGAAATACATGCTTTTTAGGAGGTGAGGGAGGGTATTAAGGAAAAATGTCTAAACATTTAAGTGTATGTTGGTAAGTCTATCTGTGCCTTAGTTCAAAATATCTTGATCACATACATTTGAAAAAAATCAGTAAAATGATACTGATTTTTAAGTGTTTGAATATGTTAGTGGAACAAAACTGAGCAATTTTATTCTTACATTTCTGACACTCCACTTAGCAACGTTAATAAAATATTAAAATTCTAATGACTCAGCAAAATGCAAAAATGCTTATGGCAATGTTAAGTGAAAATAATAAAAGTTTATGTGTATCATAATTACATATAAATTGTGTGCATATAAAAATAATTGGAACTCTGAAGGATGATCTGATAGCATAATCAGCTTATAAATAATTACTTTTTTATATTTCTTATTCGGATTTTTTTTTTTTTGAGACAGTCTTGCTCTGTCACCCAGGCTAGAGTGCAGTGGCACAATCTCAGCTCACTGCAACCTCCGCCTCCCAGATTCAAGCAATTTTACTGTCTCAGCGTTCCAAACAGCTGGGACTACAGGTGCACACCACCGCGTTCAGCTGGGTTTTGTATTTTTAGTAGAGACAGGGTTTCACCAGATTGGCCATGCTGGTCTCGAACACCTGAGCTCATGATCCACCCACCTCAGCCTCCCAAAGTGCTGGGATTACAGCAACTTTAAAAAATACATGTAATCACTACATGTATTAAATGGAACTTTGTCTGCAATGGCTTAACTATGTTAAGTGTATGCTGATAAGCACATCTGTGCTTTAGTTTTCCAGCGATTCTGTCAGTTCCAAGAAAGCAAACACCAGGACTCCTTTGTACCCTCCACAATACTTAACACAGTCTGTCAGACCCAGACAGACCCAGCTGAGTCACTGTTGAACACCAAGTGCAGAAAACATAAAAATGAGAACTTACTATTATTTGTTGGTTCAGGAAACCCAGCCTTTGGACCACTCCATCCTTTGTTTTCCCCTGTCTGAAAGATTAAATCAATTGTTCAAATCCAGAACAACAGGCTTACTCAAAAAGCAAAGGGTGACTAATCAATTCAGCAAAGGCAAAGTCCTCTCACATGGTTATTCTGCATATTCTCTCCATCTCTGACTCTGGGATGGTGGCTACAAAAGAAACTAACATGAAGAGCATCATTTATTCCTTTTCTGCACCTGAATCTATTTCTTCTATCTTTCTGCTTTTATTTGGGCATATACATTTATAATTTAAGACACAAATAAGCAAATACTCAATATATGTATTATATAGAATATAAGTTCTAGCTGGTGATTAAAAAACATTTTTTTTTTTTTGAGACAGAGTCTCACTCTGTTGCCCAGGCTGGAGTGCAGTGGTGATATCTTGGCTCACTGCAACCTCCACTTCCTGAGTTCAAGCGATTCTCCTGCCTCAGCCTCCCAAGTAGTTGGGACTACAGGTGCATGCCACCATGCCTGGCTAATTTTTTTGTATTTTCTTTTTTTTTATTTTAGTAGAGACAGGGTTTCACTGTGTTAGCCAGGATGGTCTCGATCTCCTGACTTTGTGATCTGCCCACCTAAGCTTCCCAAAGTGCTGGGATTATAGGCCTGAGCCACCACGCCCAGCCCCATGTTCATTTTTTTTCTTTTTTAAAGTTGTTCTTATTGAATTATTTCCTTTTCATTATACATCTTAGGGTGGCAGGGAAAGATATAGTGGCAGACAGCAGAAGCAAAAACAAAAATAAAGAATCCTGAAAAGTAAGATGACAGTATGCTAGAAACGACCAGCAGCTTCATATGAACCAGGGAGCACCTCTTTAATTAGCTCTTTTATCTCTTTAAAACACAAATTCCTGTCTTCATCCACATTTATCATCTTGAGAGACTGCTGCTATAACCTTTGACTGCAAAATGCTAACACAGGCATCCTTCACAAGACAGAAATTATTATGTAATAAAATAGACTGATAGAGGTAATAGCTAATAGCTAACACTCAAGATTTAAAAGTGTGGTTGCTAATGTGCTAAGTGTTTTGCATGGATATGGATTATCTCATTTTCATCCTCACGAAAATTTGGTAAGATAAGCGTTATTAACATTCAATTTTACAGACAAGCAAAGTCGAGTTAGAGAGGTTCTGTAATTACTCTAAGGTCACAGAGATAACATGCAGAGGTGCCTGGATGTCAAACTATATCTTCCAGCTAGAGGAGAGTAACCATGCTACCTTTGTGCTATCGTTATTAGGAGAAAAAAAGGAAGCTGAAGAAAGGAATAAACAGAAAAGTTACAGATGAAGTAAAACTGTGCCATCTAAGAATGAAAAGAAAAACAGTGAGATGAAGAAAGAGTTTGGAACTATTAAGAAGAATGCTCTAGGTACAGCTGGGATGGAAAGGACTACTGCAAAAACAAATGAGAGAAAACAGAAGTAGATAGTTCCAAGGGACGAAAGAAATTTAAAAAGATTTTGAAAAGCAGCTGAAATCATTATTCACAGGAAAACCTGGTGAACAGAAAGAAACAAAATATGTTTAATTTTTCTCTTATATTCCTACCTTATTTTTAATTGTATTCATACCTCCAAGACAGCGCCTGTACTTATCAAAGTGCTGACAGTTGTTTAGGTTCTTAGAGAAGTATTTTGTTTCGGGAATAGTGGGGAAGTTCTACAAGCAGCCACAGGATTCTAGTCTATCTAAACAAGTTTTTCATTTTTAATGAGTGGAATAAGTAAAATCTGTTTTATTTGACTAAACTAATTTCTTCTATCTTTACCTTGCTTTTGTTACCTTAATAGTATACAATTTATCCAGTAGGTAACATATGATTTTCGTCTGAGAGCTATGCCTAACTTCAAAATTTCTTTTTTTAAAGATCATTGTTTGAAGAGGAAGAGGAAGAGGTCAGGAGACAAGGTCAAAGTAACTACTAATGAGAACTTCTCTCTTGAAAAGCAGAAACCCAGCAGGCGCAAAGTACAGCTCAGTCCTTACTTTCTGTATTTCTTCTACTGTACCCATCAGATACACACAAGAAATATGAAAGGAGATGATATGGTTCGGCTCTGTGTCCCCATCCAAATCTCACCTTGAATTGTAATAATCCCCACATGTCAAGGGAAAGACCAGGTAGCGGTAACTAAATCAGGGGGGTGGTTCTCCCATGTTGTTCTATTGATGGTGAATTAGTCTGACAAGATCTGATGGCTTTATAAGGGGCTTCCCCTTTTACTCTGCACTCATTTCTCTCTCCTGTTGCCCTGTCAAGAGGTGCTTTTTTGGCAATACTGTTAAGTTTTCCGAGACCTCCCTATCAAGCCCTGCAGAACTGTGAGTCAATTAAACCTCTTTCCTTTATAAATTACCCAATCTCGGGCAGTTCTTTACAGCAAACAAACTAATATATGAGACAACAGGAGGAGGTAAGTCAATCAAAGTCTGGAATTTGAAAAGCAGATGAACAAGTTGTGGCTAGCTTAACAGATGTGAGTAACTGAAACCTAACCTGCAAAGGAAGAAGCTAACAAAGAGCTTACAAACAGTAAAGTGGTGTGTCACCCACAACCCCAGAAAGCCTCCAGAATTAGGATTACACCTGGTACATTTAAAGATAAATCCTGGAAGGAGCTGAAACAGAAAGATTATGTGGAAGTCTTCTCAAGGTCTTATGAAATCTCCGTATCACCTCTATGATCCCAAGCAGCCAGATGCCTACCCCTTCCTAACAGGAGTTTCCTGCTGGAAGAGGCTAAAACAGAGAGGCTCTGGACACCAGGCACAGTTGGGGTGAAATCCATGTGTCACCTTGCAAATAAGGAGATGGAGTTTCAAGGTTCCATACTGAAAAATAAGATTCCCAGCCTCTTTTCTCATTTGCCCCTCAGAAGACACATCCAGGCTTCTAAACCACAAGGAACAGGAAGATAATGCGGAGAACAGAAGGAAAAAAATGCAAAAAATAAAAATACTCAGGCACATAAGAGAAATACTATACCCATTAAGCAAGAATAAGAAGACATAAAAAGGAATATGAGGAAGAACTCTGGGAAATAAAAAATGCAATAGCTGAAATGAAAATTTCAAAGAGGGACTGGAAAACAAACTTGAGGAAATCTCCCTACAAAACAGACTAACGAAAAAACAGAAATAGGTGGAAAAAAGAAAAATCACAAGACCATTTATAAGATTAACAGGCATCCCAGAAATAAATACCAGCAAAAATAAAAGGAAAGAAATTATTGAAGAAATGATATAAGAAATTTCTCAGTTCTAAAGTATATGCATTTCTAGATTATAACTGAAATGTCCAACACAATTTATCAAATAAACATAAAATACACACATCTCAGAACCCCTAGGAAAGTAAAAAGTCAGAAAAGCATTGAGAGGGAGGAGAAGGGTAAAGGTTTCATACACAGGCTGAAGAATCAAGCGTTGAAATTTTAACAGCAATGCTGGGAGGTACAAGACAAGCGTGCAATGCCTTTCAAACTCTGTGAAAATGTACTTCCAACTCAGAATTATATCTTAGAAAAAAACTATCAAGTGTGTGGGAAATATAAAAAAATTTCAGACCACAAGATCCCAAAAAAAGTTTACTTCCCATGTATCCTTCGCGAGGAAGCCCCTAAAGTATGTACTCCATCAAAACAAGAAAGTAAACCAAGAACAAGGGAAACTGTCCAGAAAACAGGCGACTCAACAAACGACAGCAGCCAAGGAAACTTTCAGGATAATGGTGAAGAGAAGAACCTGAACAGTAGCTCTGCAGCAGGCCTATCAATCAATCTGCAATACAAGAGGAGGATAAAGAGCTCTAAGGGTGGAGTAGGGTGGAGGTTCGGAAAGGAATGGAAAAAAAACTGCATGATGTGCTTAAGTGGTAAAGACTTAGGGGATAAATGAGAGAGATGCAGAAAAGTGTATGTGTAGAGTATGTACCAGAGTAAATCCTCATTTTCCAGAGAAGAAAGTATATTTAATTTTCTTACTTTTATATTACTTCTCATAATATTTAAACATGAGAAATCAAGAGACAGCCTACATTACCCACAGTGATAAATAAAAACATAAATAGTTACAACAGGTGGTAAAGTGGTTGCCTCTGGCTAGGGGGAAGCAGAAATGGTCAGTGGCAAGAAAGGAGAACAGGATATTTTGGTGTTTTAAATTATAAACTTAGAGTTTCTAAACTATTAATCTTGTATAAATTCTGCCTTTTTATATATGTATTACTTTGAGTATAAGTACTACTTTGATGAATGATCAAATACAATGAAAAGAGTAGTCATGTCTGACTTACAACAAACTCCAAGATATAAGAAAAACTCTAAGATATCCGAATGAAAAAAATCAAGATGCAAGAGTGGCATATAAAAAAGAGGTGAAGAGAGTATTCCACTTTTTCTTAGAATGTAGAAACATAACAGTGACAAAAAGGCAACCTGAAAAGAAAATTCTAACTTTTCTTGAACCCTTCAGCGACCTGAGATTATAAGACAAACAAGCAAAATGAATTCTAGAGAGTAACAAATCCTCTAGGAGAGAGAGAACTCACAAAACTGTTACAGCTTTGGCAGGTCAAGGATGGCAGAGATGACTGCCATAAATGTAAGTAAGGAGAAAGTAGATAAAAAGTTAATAAATTCCTAAAGCCTGAGTATGAGCTAGCATGATAGTTTAGAAAAACTGGGAGCTCCAGGCAGGAGTGCTTTTCCATAGTCCTGCCCTAGATTCTCAGGAGGACAACTGGGGGTACAGCTGCAGACAAAAGACAGCCCAATTTGGTGCAGGCATGCAGCTGGTTGGTGGCTGCACTGAGGGAGAAGCTCAGAACCTTGCTACTTCTCTAGGCTCTTCTCCAATACAAAACAAAAGGTTTAAGCCACTGGAGGAAGGGTAGAAACAAATCCTATCTGCCTTTGGGGCAAAGGCAGGAAATTCTCTTGTCCTAAGAGCTCAGTAAAGCCTCACTCTTCTAAAGAAGGATTAAAAG